ATAGAGTAGAACCGCCTTATCCATTAGGGTATTCATCTTTAAGGTATTATATTCCACAGGGATACGGATCATACAAAGACCTTTACAACAAGCATACTTAGGGCAAAAACAGATAACACCATCAAACAAATCACCAATTTTATTAATTTTCACCAAAAGGGACTTCTATTTCCGTCTGGAGGTAGTACGTAGTAATACTGTAGTACAGAGAACCAAGTAGGAACTCGCGCACAGTGGTATTTTGAAATATATGGGGAATTGTATGCGAATGCGCAAGTTGTGATTCCGAGTACGAATTATAATTTTGCAATCAGATCAATCGGATTAATTTATTATATCCAATCATACAATTTACAAACTTTTTATGAGCATACTATTGGTTAAAATATAAAATATGAAAAAATACTATTGGTTGACGTCGGAATTTATGAATGCTCCATGGGAAAAAAATAGTGTCGATACGAGTTCCTACTCGGTTCTCTGTATTACTACGTATTAATAGTATTATTAATATTAATAGCAGTACAGTACTAGTACTAACATTCCTATTACTAGTACTCCGTACTACTACTACAGGTTTGATCACAGCAAAAGCAAGCTCTTTCTTATTGGCGATCGTGATTCAAAAGTATCACGCAAGACGATGAAGTTGGTCGTGCAGCGAGTCACGAGCGGGTGCGTTCGCGTGGACGAGAAAGCAGTGGGCAGCATCAGCAAAGGGTTAGTGTGTCTCGTAGGCATCGGTCGCGATGACACGGAGGACGATGCCGAGTGGTGCTGCCGGCGGATACTGGTGGGTGCAACACGCCCAATGCGTACTAGTAGTTCCATGTCAACATGCGTATAGAATGCGAGACTGTGGCCAAATGAAGATGGGAAGCCTTGGATGACGTCTGCGCTTCAGAACAACTTCCAGGTGCTACTCGTGAGCCAGTTTACCCTGCACGGGTACCTCGCCGGCAACAAGCCCGACTTCCACCTCGCAAGTACAGTGTCCTCCTTGTCCACATTATGAGGTTGATGATCTTCTTCGCAGTGTCCCCCGAGCCTGCAAAGGCCTTGTTCGACAACCTCGTGTCCCGAGTGCGCACAGCCCATGCGAGTCCAGAACAGGTGCAGGAAGGCGTGTTTGGCGCGTACATGGAGGTCTCCATCGTAAGGACATGGATCTACTGCGACTATCCACTCTGCCACGTCATGATTGCCACTTGTAGGTCGGAGATGGCCCCGTGACGCTCAATCTGGATTCGAAAGTGCGAAAGTAACCGTCACGGAATAAGTGAGCGCTCAGTCGGCCACGGCACATGCCAGTATTTGTCATACATCAGCAGCTCTGGCATGGTGGTAGATTAACCTCCTAGGGCCCGCATTATTATCACTAAAAAGTAAAGAAATAAATTGCTTTTCTCGTCATTGTATCCTTCACTACTACTATTAATAATACTCCGGCGTATTAATATTAATAGTAAGGGTGAGTCTGGATGTCAAAAAAGGCCAGAATTTTCGATATTTTCGAACTAATCGTCAAAATCTGAAAAATTCTCTGGATCCAAAATTTGGAGAAATCATTTTTTGCAATTTCTCACATTTTTCGCCGAAAAACTGAAATAGTGGTGCAAGGGATTTTTTTCTGAAAGTTGTCAATAACTAGGAATCAGTCGCGTTTCTTTCCAAATTAGTTTGATCCAGACAGTAAAAAAATAAGTGACAACCCAAGTCATCGAAACGATATTTGGACCCAAAATTTCGAAATATTTATTTGGCAGAAATTGGGGTGTGATCCAGTAAACATATTTTTTTAAAATAAGTTGCATTTCTCGTCATGTTAATGTTCACGCGTTTGTTCGTATCGTGTGAAAACAGTTAGTATGAGGCGTGTATATCAATTACTAGCATTATTTAATTGAAATTTCTCGTCTTCGATTGTACTGTATAAGTAGCCTGTCATCGATGGTCCACTTGCACGAATGTCACTTGGTCCTGCATATACATCTCACATTGAATAGTACCTGTAATCCTCATTTAGAGTACCTGGGAAGAGCAATGAACATGCACACAGCATGGATGGGACTGCTCCATGAGGGTCATGCCAGTGGCTTCGTCACGTCCATTCGCCATATAAAACTCCTCTAATCCCTTCAGCGTTAACCCAACCCCGTCCGAATCAAAATGCTCGAGTAGCCACTCGAACGCACTCGTGGACATGGATAGCCCATCTTCGTAAACCTACAAGGGTGTTCATATACTATTAGTAAAAAAAATAAAAAAAATGTTTATAAACAAATATTTAATATTGGTATTGGCATTTCGTAGATGTAGTATGGTTATTTTTATTTATAGTTGTTTATTGGTGGGGTGGTCAATTGTCTTGTCTAAAACCTTTGAAAACGTAAACTACTGTACACATAAGGACGGAAATATTCAAACCACTGGTACTTCGAATTAGATTTAGAATTTGTATGTGGTATAAAATTTTTGAAGTCGAGTAATTTGTATACATACACAATGTTTTGATTCTCAAAATATGGTCAAGTACCACTGGGTGAAGATCTGTGCCGTAATCTATATTAGGGTGACTGTGGACGTCATTATCAAAAAGGCCAAAATCGTGGATATTTTCGCAATTTCTAACAAATCGGCAAAACACTGAGAAATTATATGGGTCCAAACTATGGAGACTTCAACATTTTGCAAAATATCACACGTCTTTCGCCAAAATATTTTAAAAAGCGGATTACGGGACTTGTTTCTGATATGTTAATTCCCTTTTGTTTCTTTTCGATCCACACTGTGAGCCCAAAATACGTGACTATCAAATTATTCGAATAACTTTAAAATGTTCAAACTATTAATAGGGCAGAAGTATCCAAATCATAAAATAGAATCACCCTAAAAGAGTACATTGAAAAGAAGCTGCTCGTCGTACTGCCATGAACCGCGCCATATCATGAATGTCCAATCGATGGTCCATGTCCCAGTCCAGCATGTCAAACATCCGCTGCATAACTGGAGTGTTGGTCGTCCCTTTTTCCGTGTGTTTGTCATCGTTGTGGCTCCATTGCACTGGTTTCACAGCTAGAACGTACTCGCCTGCTTCCACCGACGCCACCATCTACTCTCATATATCAGCATATATATATATATATATATATAAACAACAGTGCACGTTATTCTATCCTACACTACTAGTTTGTATTCAAACGGTGGTGGTGTACATAACTAGCTAGGTCTAATTTCAATCCATGTTTTGTATAGATACTACTTGAGTATTCGTTTTCACCCGAAAATACAAAAATACACTCACTGTACATACAGTGCATGCGCTGGGATGATGGGTATCGATCGTCGACGGCACTTCCACGAGGGATTCCTTTATCTGGTTTGTGGGCTCCATAGTTAGCAAAGACATGCCCATGTCTGTAACTTGATGGGCGTATGTGAGGCTGATCATGACTGATGCTGGGGATGGGATGCTCAGGATAAACATGGCAGCGGCCGCCGACGCACACGCCGCCGCGTCCTGGACGAATACGCGGCGTACCAGGCGTTGGGGGTACATCGGGAAGTACCAGCAAGCGTTTATAGCGCCAACGTCATCGTGTCTATGGGCAAAACAACAGCTGCATTTGATAACGTAGAAACGTCTGGTGATTTCATTCAAAATGGACGATCTGAACCACAGTTAGACGAATAATAAATATTGCAGACGACATAGTGGTTGGGTTTAGCTCGAAACTGCATGGAGAATGAATATTGACAGAACCAAGTATAAAATATCCGCCCAATCAGAGTGCAGGAAACCACCAGCAACACCAAATTAGTGTGTGACTTCAATTAGTGTGATTCCAATTGTTTGTAAAGGACAATACTTGGCCGAATTCTCGACAAGTTGGGTACGAGCATCGCTGGGGTAGTGCCGAAGTGTAATCGCTCGGTCGTCGCCACTCACAAACATAATGCCATGTCGACTGGAACTGGCCGACGGGAATGTCACACCCACCAAATGTCCTCGATGCACCATCGGTTGGACGATCGAGTGCAAGTTGGCGGGATTGCACGTTACTTTAACGCTATTCCAACACTCTTAAGTGCTATATATATATATATATATAAAGTCTTACCTTGGGTAGCCAACCATGTCGTGGAGGAGCTGCATCGTAGACACTTGGCACAAGTGAGAATACCCGCCGTAGAGTTTCGCCAGGGCTTTGTGCACCAGCATGGGCCACACACATTGCATTGTGCGGCGGCATTTCATCACGACGGGACCTCCTCCATGGCTAATACAGGGCACGAAGCCATCGATCTCGACTGTTATCGGTTGGCCATGGCGATGCAGCAGCACCGCAAAACGTTCGTGGGTGTCGAGGCCGTGACGTGGCACCGTGTGGGGGAAGAGACGCGTCAGGATGCCCATGCGGTCGCCAACGATTTGCAGGGCGCATTTCATGTCGATCGAGACAAAGGCGGGGTCCCCGCCGCAAAGTGAGGACGACGAAAGTCGCGCGGTGGACGGCGGCAAGACGGATGGATGTGCGGAAGGAAAATGCAGAATGGACGACACGTGCGCCCATGTCAATGTCGGAAGGATAGATCTCATGGACGGAACAGAAGAGATGTCGCCGAGACAAGCTTGCGTCGGAGGAAACGAAGGGTCGACAAATGTACCAGTCAACTCGACGAGATGCGATTCGTCAGGGGATGGACGTGCCTCCTTTCCTTCCGTGCGATGGACGTGGTAGTTGATGCACACTGCACATCGTTCCAACGGCCGGACGCGCGCTACGGTCGCGATCACTATCGCATACGGTCGCAGCGTCGCACGGAAGGACAGGGTAGCGCTCCCCGCCACGGCCAAGTTGGACGAGCCAGCAAAGTCCAACTCGACGTCGTACTCATGACCAGTCATGTTGTCGATGGCATACTCCAGCTGCCATGGGGACTCGGTCAACGTTGTCGTGCACATTACGCCATCGACCAGCTCCATGGTGGATCGTCTTTTGACAACTGGTATTTATCGAAATCAAGTCGAAATGTTGGTCTGTAGGATCCTATTTGTTACTAACCGTAAATTTTGAAATGTCCTCCTTCCTCTATAAATAAATAAATCCGGATAACAACATCCGTACACAATATATACCCGGACGTAATAAAAACCCTGGGGTCCTCGCGTTCACAATAACTGACCACCCGAATGTGTTTTTACAAATATTAATACTGTATTTGACTTGTAGGCTATAAATCCAATTATTTGATTGATTTTATTCTCCGAAATATGATTATTCTGCCATCCTAGGTCGCCCTACTAATTTTGCAAGCTGCATGCCATCCCCTTTTTTCAAGCAAACCACGGCGAATAATAATACATTGAAACATTGAATACTACTCGTATTAGCTACTATTCTATTCATACATTTGACACGTACTACTGTGTACTAGTATTCAAATCCAATCCACCCAGGTGTGAGGACGCTAATGAGTGGAGCTGTGGACACGCCCTTTTTTGCCGCGGAGCATGAGCACCTCCTGCTTCAACGCATCAATCTCCCGCGACTGCAGCTTGACCAGCTGCACCAGTTTCTTGCGCTCGCTCATCTCCTTCTCGAGCTGGGCGCCGTCGTCCACGAGCGTATTGTTCACGTCCGCCTGGTTCAGTTCCTTCTCCAGATCAAACTGCCTCTCGCTGAGCAAAGCGATCTCCGTTAGCAGCCGCGTATTTTCCTGGGTCGCGGCCAAGATTTCCATCTTGAGTCGCTGTTGTTCGCCTATCGTTGTTCCGTTCATCCAATCAGCCGATACAGTATACATATTGTCAATCGAATGTCTTAAGAAGTGGATGGATTAAAGAACCGTCTAAGCCAATCAAATATCTCGCTCTATCGAGTTTCTGCCAATCCAAACTTTGGATTCGGTCCAGTACATTCCTCCGCATCGGGCAAACCCACATGTATAATAAATGTTACTAATTGTTGTAGCGTATACTTTAACAAGTGGGTTCGAATGCTATTTGGCGAAATGACTGTCTCAAGTCCAAGCAAGCTTGGGTGAAAGGCCCAATATGGGCATTCAAAGTCACGAATAGTAGACGTACCCTTGGCCTCTGTGAGCTGCTTCTCGCCGTGCATTTCCTTGGTGCGGACCTTGGTCTTGAGCTCGTTCAAGTTGCCCGTGTCGCATGCTTTATCCAGCAAATCGATGTCGATCAGCCGGCCAAACTTGAGCAGTTGCAACTGATTGCACTTTTCATTTACTTGGCCAATCAGTTCGTTTTGACGAGTTTTGTCTCGCAATAGCTGGCTTTGCTGCTTATGCAGGTCCTTAAACACTTGGCGGAGGGATTTGTTTTCCTCTTGGAGGCTCAAAATGCGGGAAGCTAGGCGGTCCACGACGCTGTGGTTGAACACTAGAGCATTTTCGACGGTTTCGGGGAGATATAATGCAGACGGGTCGGTTCCGGATGCTTTTTTCTATTATGCCCCGTGAGAAAAATATATACTACTGGTATAAATATATAAATATATACTACTGGTATAAATATATATATATATATATACCAGCAGCCTCGGCATCCTTGGGTTGCAAACAACGCAGCTGGTGTTTACTCAACGCGACAATCACGTCCAACTCGTTGAAGCGCATTTGTTTTTCCGTTTGAAACGCTTGAATGTCTTGTTCCGTGGCGGTCAGTTCCTTGTCGATTTGGCGTTGTTTCTAGCTCGGATGGTATTTAAAATCCTTTTGAAATGTCCAATACAACACGTGTACTTGAATGTGACGGTCGTTTGATCGTTTGAAATCGTCGATTGCCTTGGTGATTTCGCTCATAACGTCGTCAACGTCGGCTTTCTTTTCACGCAGCGCCAGCACCTTTTCGTACAGCGCCATGTCGCACCCACTGGGGCACATCTCTTCCTCGTTCGAGTCATTGTCGTCGTCGTCATCGTCGCTGTTGTATTCGTCGTCCGATTCTACCGTTTAAAACGCATTAAAACGCATTCGTCATCCTTTCAAACGCATAGAAGTAAAACGCATAGATCCACATTAAAAACGCACAGGGCGACATTTCAAACACGTTCGAAACAAACATTTCAAACACGTTCGAAACAAACATTTCAAACACGTTCGAAACAAACATTTCAAACACGTTCAAAACGTTTCAAACGCGTTCGAAACGACGTACCATCGTCGTCGTCGTCGTCGCCGTCGTCGGCCGCGCGTTTCTTTTGGCGTTTTAAACGCTTTTTAAAAATCTTTTGCAGCACGCCAAAGCACGGGTGCGATAGCCCTACGAGCGCGACAAACTCGCTCTGGACGGCGCTCTCGGTGCGCTGGCACTCGTCCATATCCTTGCGTTTGGACACGAGCTGGTCGCTGCAGTCGGTCAACTCGCGCACGACTTGGGCCTTGTCCGTTCTAAATTACATTGAAACGTTAACTTGAAGCGAATATAAAGCACGCCCACGTGTAGCATTCAACCAAAATAATCAAAATGTCCTTCCATACATACACCCAGATAAAACACAACAGCTGCAGACGTGTGGTTTCTAACGGCATCATCGAGGGGGGCGGACGTCGTCGGCTACTACATACTAATATCTGTTCTAACGACGCAAACTTGTTTTGAAAACGTACACTCTCCCCCACAAAAGACGTACAACAAAGAAGTCTCAATGATCAGAAATTAAAATAGCTAAAAAACTACTGACTTTTTTGAGATAGAAATGACTTTATCAAAGAATAAACACCACCTTGCAACGACTGAACAAGTTACAGAAGCTGTCGAGCAGGTATTTACCGCCTTTGGATTCGACTCAACCAGTGATTAGTAATACACGGATTTATGGGTAGTAGAAGAATATCGGTTGGTATTGTCAAATCGGTTCGTAACTCGAGTCGCAAGTCGACTCGAAAAGCGATTTGAGAATGAACTAACCAATCAAATCACGTACTGTAGATTTCTGCCAAATAGCCCCCTTGGGATTTAGATAAACCATATACAGTGAACGAGGGAATTTAAGCCACACTTTGAATCGAAGTAGAATCTAAACGTTGAAGTCTGATTGGCCAACTTCGATTATTTTGACAAATCAAACCGATCGGTTTGAAATACACCACTATGATTGGATATATACAGCAATATTTAGACGAACTTCGGTGTGGCTTAAATTCCCTCGTTCACTGTATATATATATATATATATATATATATATACTAAATACTACACTAGGACTAGTAGCATAGGATCGTGTATACAAACAGGCAAGCATAAATCGATGCAAATCGATTTGAAACCTATTTTGTGAATTCACTCGAGAGGTCCAATCAATAATTGAAAAGAGCAATAGTAGTTGCAACGACGTACTTGCACTTTTCCAATTTGGACACGAGGAGGTTTTCCTTGCTTTCAAACTGTTCGAGGAGGACCAACTCGCCGAGTCTTGTCATGAGCTTGATTTCTCCTTTCTTCAACGCGATGTCCAACTTCAATTTCTCACGGCGAAGGCGGTAGATGGCTTCGTCAAACGTCTGCACGGCGTGCACAATCTTGCTGTCCAGCGCCTGTCGTTGACGCTGTAGTTGGATGCATTGGATCCGCACTTCTTCGGTTTCTAGAGTCGACAGCTCGTAGGTTGAGCCCAAAGGCACGCAACTTTGGCCAAGAACGGGGTGGACGGGGGGCTTGGGAGTAGTTGCTGCGGAAGTTGCTTTGTTGGAGCTGTTGCCCAGGTGGAACTCTGCCGGCAACGCCAACGCCGTCGTGACCGTCCCCTTCTTTACGTATTCGTCGATGTGGACGTCCAGAACACATTCGCGTTGTTCTGGCCATTCACGTAGATCCACTTGTGGTTCAAACAACGGCAGTGGCGGTGGTGTTACATGCGTAACGCCAGTAGTTACCAAGCCCCTCCTGTGATGAAAGGTATGGTCAATGTATCGAAATAAATATAGGTAAAAACATCAACAGCTTTGGGACTGATGATGTCGTCGATGCAAACACAATTTCGGATTTGAAAGAAAGAGGATCGTATAACAAGCTCAAAAGCCTTAATAGAAGAGAAACGTATGTATCATTGATAGAAATCACCGATCAAATATATGTATACATACATACATATAGATAGATAGATAGAAATCATTGAAAATATAAATAAATCTATATTATTATTAGATAGAAATCACTAATCAAATATATATTATAGATAGAAGTCATCGATAGTACATATATATATATATATATACGTACAACGTGACCAAATCATCATACCTTGCATATATAATTATATATATATATATATATATATATATATATATATATATATACGTACAACGCGGCCAAGTCAATATCGAGGGCCTTGATCGTAGTGTTATCATCTTGAATTTGCTCTATCAGTCGCAGCTTTAAATCGCGCAGCTCGAGCAGCTTGGCATTGAACCCCATGGCCACTTCGTACATTTTCTCTTCCAGCAGCGCCATTTGCTTTCGTTTTTTCATTGCATTTACCTACACACATATGAGAGTTTGGCTTTTGTCTTGAACAAAGTATGGGCAATGCGACGTACGCGCTGATCTTCGGGTACGACATACGTGGCACTGGTTTTGAGCTTGTAGTCTTGCATGTGGGAGCTCGCAAATGCAATCGCGGCGACATCGCGCGGGTCGTCGGCTTCCTCTTTGGGCTTTTTGCCTGTAGTATATATATATATAAATACATTAGTTTTCAATATATGTACAAGTTACGAACGAATAATCGTATCACGGAAAACATGCATTGCTCAACATCGACATCAATATCAACGCACTGTCATCCGACTATTCCAACATAGCATATGTATATATATGGTATGACTGTCATCCGTCTATTCCAACATAATATATATATATATAGTGTTGGAATAGACAGTGAAACGAGTGATATCGATTTCAATTTTGAATAAAGAGTGTATAGTTTTCAATATATATAATATATATACCACGAAAAACAATCGTATATCACGAAAATACAAGTTGTACAAAAGTACACCGAATAATACCATGTCATCCGTGTATTCATTCTACACTATATATATATATGAAAAGGTTCTTCCCTGCCATTGGGTATTTAAGGTAAATATGTATCCAATGGTAACATTGAGCATTACAAAGCACGGCTATATATATATATAATATATGTAGTACCTTCCCATGCTTGCGTTCTCGCCTTGCGTTCCGCGCGCATGTTCTTGCGATAATCAAACCGATGGGAGGTGGCCTCTATAGTTTCCGCGGCGGTGGTTTTGTGGTGGACATGGCTGGAGTGCCGTTTGTGGCTTTCTCCTGCTGTGGGCTTGTCGTCGGTAGAGGCCTCGGCCTTGGGCTTATGGATGAAGTCCAGCACCGTGTATGTCTTTTCACTGGTTGGCTGCGAGTTCTTTGCCAGTTCCTGCATCTCCACATGGATCACCCGCAGCCGTTCTTGTAATTCGTCCGTCATTCGAGTGGTGCGGAACGATTGAACGTGCAGGCCGTTCTGGAACCCGTGTAGCGTGATCAGTTCCACGGCCACGTTGCCCACGTATTTGTTGCGCATCTTGTGAAGCAGCAATTCGCTCTGTTCATACGCGTACGCCATCTCCTTCCGCACTTCGTCGCATAACTTGTCGCCATTCGCCATGAGCAGGCTCAAATAGTCCGGGTCGATGTTCCACTGCCGGTCGTCTAGCCGAGCCAACTACGAAAAAAAAATAGGCGAAATGTCACATGTGCTGGGTTTTGTACATGTAGATAGATTCCACAGTCCAAAGGTTCGTTGGTACTTGGTACATAAAAAGTTCATAGGTATATATATATATATTATAACCATAGATATTTATATGACTAGGTTTTTATTGTGTATGTAGATAGATTCCACGGACCAAAGGGTATTGAAGGCCTCACATACAAAGTTCACGGGAATATATAACCATAAATATATATATAACCATGTATTTCATCCTAATCGTAGCTTCTTCATGTCCACACTTCATTGCGAATCCATATTCACGCTCACGAACACTCACCAATCTACTTATGACCTCAAATGTATATAAATATATATCGAAAATCATTCTATAGTTCTGCTAGAGGTTCTTACTGGTTCGTTGCGCGCGTCGATCTCCTGCAACTTGGCGAATTGGTCTCGCATTTCAGCGATGATCCCGCGGGTTCTAAAGCCCAAGCATGAGTTATATACATATATATTATCTCCGTGTTTTCAGTTTTGCACCTGTTTTTCTTGGCCAGGGTGCTGTTGGCGCGGATATCAGCCTCGAGTTTCAACTTGGCGTCCTGGATCGTATATGCTTCCTTGTGCGTGATGTCTGGCGCTTCTTTCACCTTGGGGCGGTCGTCCAGGGCATTTGGATCTATGGCGGCCGCCGGGGAAAACGCCGACGGGTCACACTCGTCCACCAGGCTACCACGACGTTCATCAGGCCTCAGAGTATATTTATATTGCTTTCAAACGTACAAATCAGTATTTCTAATATGCTACTACATACTGTATGTACCAGTATTTCTAATATGAACAAACTATTTTTAGATAGTTGTAGCAAACAACGACTAACGCTACTGTATGTAGGTAGCTGTGTTTTCAGATATACTTGGAGTCCAAATGAATCAGGTTATAGTGTACGATTCGTAAAAATAATTCGTCGTTTTGTCCAACATGACAATATACATATCGTACAGGGGTACTCTAAATTAAATAGAACTTTGACAAAAGTGAGCAGCCAACGTACCGCAACACGCCGTGGTGGGTTTCAGCGTCGACAATTCGCACCGAATCCATAAACGCCACGTATGCCTTGGCCCCCACGAACACGGGATTGGTCAAAAATACATTCGAAATCGGCTCGTCAGCCAATCGCACGTCGTTCTGGGCAGCCATGCGATCGTGGGCCACTTGATACGTCCGCTTTCCTTCGCTCAGGACCAAGTCAAACTGCCGACTCAGTCGTTGGGCCGCTTCGTCAATCTATGAAATCGCAAAATATATATCAAAATATTATATATTTAAATCTTATATAGTTCATTGTTTTCAAGGTAGTAGTTATTTCGATATCTTTACCTTGGCTGGGTTCACGCGGACGACAGATAGCTGACCGTCTGAGCCCCCCGACAACACAAACGTGTCGTCGAATGACATGGCCACGCAAGGCGTGCCAGTCGGTCCCTGGTGGATATCAAACGGATTTAAAAAGCATAAAAAAAACAAACCACACTGGGCCCACGAACGTACTTGGTCGTGGAGCTCCCACGTAAGTACTGCAAACGGCACAGTTCGAGCGCGGAGGTGCACTTTGCCGTTGATGTTACCCACCAAAACGTACTTTTGCGAATGGGACAACGTCAGCGATTGACCGGCGCCCTGAGGATCGTCTGGGAACTCTCCAACTGGAAACGGCTTCGTCCACTCGCATTTGTACACTGCCCCAGCATGCACACCACCCACGCTCACCTAAAACCAAGTTATTCTTCAAGTTAGCAATAATAATATATATATATATATTGTGAGGTGCAAAACATACGAGAAAGCACGAGGCAGAAGCACAGCAGTACAAGGCGGCGAGGACGATAGGAGGGCCTGCTCCCACGCCGACTTCGACTTCGCCAAAGGAAACAGCGGTGGAGACTGGGCTTGGGTTGTAACTCGTGGGCTTGGCTGCGTCGACGGACGGATCTACATCGAATTTGACAGTTTAAAACGAGAAATGATTCGAATTCGACTAGTACCAGATGCCAACGCCACCAGCTCGTCGGTGGTCAACTTTCGAACACGTCGAAACCCGTACGTTTTGTACGGTAAGTCCAACTCGTACGTGGCACGCTCCCCGTCGGTCATTGATGGCATCTCCAGCTCCCTGTATAAATTAATATTATATATGTATATCTAAATGAATTGATAGTTTACCCAATCATGCCATTCAAACACGTGACCAAAAGCGCGTTCGAGTCCCATCGCCACGACAAGTGACGCACCGTTTCACTATTCCCAAACTTTTTAAACCCCACGGGCTCGTACTTGGAGGTACTATGTCCAACAAGAGTTAGAGTTATTACAAATCATAAATATATATATATTTATATTTATATATACATATATACCTCGTGGTGCACGCAAATATGAACAGCGTGTTGTCTTGACTGGCCGTGACAAAGTACTTGCCATTGGGAGAGTACGCCATACATGTAATCGGTTGGCTGTGCGGCTTGATCACATGGAGGCGTCGCCAGCTACACAATGGTATCGTTAAAAACCAAATGCAAAAAAAAAAATCTTTTTTTTCGCTACTTGGATGGCCCGCGATCCAAGATGCGCACCACGCCGTCTTGGAAGGCCACGGCGATGGTGCGGCCGGTTGCATCGTGCGCCGGGGGAGCGAAGGTCAAGGCGGTCGCTGGAGCATTGAAGTGCTGGATGTACATGCACGTAGATGAAGTTGCGGCGTAGTTCCAGCAGCGCACAGTGCTGTCACTGCCGCAAGTGGCGGCGATGTGTTCGACTGGCGATGTGGCCAGACCAGTGATAGCCCCAGCATGACCTTCGGCCAAGTGCGTCAGCTAGTCACAGCGTGATGTTACTCTTGTGTGTATTCGAAAAACTGGCGAAAATGTGTCGACACACAAAGACGAAAAGTGGTATGGGAAACAGGACTTTGAGCCAATCAGTTATAGGTACGACGAAGTAGTGTAAAATTTCAATTTCGAATAAAAAGCGACAAAAAAATAGTTGTATTTTCAATAAATAACTTTTTCAATTCTAGTTTGAAGTATAACGATAACGAGAGAGTTGGTTCCAAATGGAAAGGGGTATTCAGAATTCATGAAAAGGTACGTAGTCGAGTCGCAAGGTGTAAAATGTGGGCACGAATTGCGCTTACTTGTTTGGTGTCAATGTCCAATCTATGGAGCATCCCATTGCCGTCTTGAATCAAGTAGTGGTCGGACCCACGCAGGACGCCGCGGATATCGGCGACTGTCGACGTATGATGGGGCGACTTGACCGAGACACAGAACTCGTCCTTAGGGATCACTTCGGCCACGGTGTCGTCTTCTTTCACGTCCGCTTGGTCGATTTCAGGAAAGTGCCACCACTTCATCATGCCGTCGCTGCCTAAAACACGACAGCACGCTGAGGTACGTACCTACCTACCTATGCGTTTGGATTATATGCAAACGTGGCAAACCTGCAGTGAGGATTTGATTGAACGCTGGCTCGTACTGGACGACATTGATCGGGCCCTTGTGCGCACGCTGTCGATTGAACGTGACAATTTCACACTTGATAAAGTTGCCTACAAGAAAATATTATGTCCCTAGTACATAAGAAGGATAAGCCAATCAGCTTGTAGAAATGCCCCCTCTTTCGACCAATCAAAGCGCAAGAGAGTAAGTAGTGTACGTCGATCGATTCACGGTGTGATTTCAAAAATCGAACGGTGGACAACATGGTACAAGTCCAAGTTTTCGCTGTTGATATATAGTACAAACGTTAACGTTATATGTCCACACAAAGTAAACATACCGTCCCACAGCAACAGTGCCCCGCGCTCGGTGGAACTTAGCACCTTTTTGTCCGGAAGGACGCAAAACGCTTCAATGTCACTCAACTCGGACTTGCCAAATTTGGCAATGTCGCCTTGTAACTTGAGCCCGGTGAACGTCGACGCCATTTTCCAAAACCGAATATGCCCCGTGCCACTGGTGGTCAGGAACCCGCCGTCGTTGGGGGCGAATTGGACGTTGAACACTTCTTGGCCGAACGCTTTACACCGCAAAATCGTTTGCTCGTCGCGCCAGTTCCACACGGTCAGCAAAAAGTCTGGCGACGCCCCCACGGAAGCCAACTTGGCACCGTCGTTGCTACACATGTTTCTCAGCACTGTTTATATGTATTATGTATGGCGAACAAGAAAATACCTGAACCGCAAGCTACAGTACGCACGCTCAGTGCCTTGTCGAAGCACCCGAAACACTTTCAACGACGGGTACACGTAAATGGTAATGTTGGGCTTGTTCCCCTTGTCCCCCACAGCGAAGAATCCCCTCGACGGATGCACTGCGATCGCACCGACACCGCCGCCGCCCAACCCGAACACGTGCTTGGATTGCATCGTGGCCATATCTACACAACAATAAGCGAAATAATTGGGTTGTTCGTTGTTACGTATGAGTTGAGCACTATTCCCCGCCGACGTGAGGAGAGTGTGGTCGTCCAGGTAGTGCAGGTTGTTGCGCTTTTTCGAGTCAAAGCCCAGCAACGCTGAAAACGCGACCAAGTCACGGGACATCTCCCCTTGAAGTTGTGGCCGGCTTAACTCCTCCTGCGGGTAGAAGAAACTCTCGTCCAGGACCCGAGACGACGATTTCGCAGCATCTTCGTTGGTTGGCATTTGGAGTCACTTCGTGCTTTGAAGGAGTGTGACCCTTCGCAAGCAAGGGCGTTACGTTGAGGCGGTTGACCCAAAAATATTCCACCAAACTCAATATCACACCATATACGAATATGGAGGTGGTCGGGTTTCTTAGGTTCTCTCCGGTCTCTGGGCACTCATGTGTTTGAATCGCCGAAACATCGTTATAGACCCAATAATATCTGTTGTGTGTGAATTTTGAGATAGATTAATATTGTTGATTTACCGTTACATCATTGATTTGCCGAGCTGCAATGCCCAATATAAAATCAGAATAGCAATGAGTTGATATATTGTGCTTTGCTCGTTTTGGCTTCGGTTTTACGTACCTAAAAGAGTGGCATTTCTGCTGTAACTGTGTTACTGTAGCACTACGTATGATGCAAGTCACCTAAAGACTACAAAAAATGCCTTGTCTTTCGACAGCTATTCCAACTTTGTATTGATATTTTTTAGGAAAATAAGCCGTAATAACGATAGAACTGGACAAGCCCAACAGAAGTTACGGTTCAGATTTTCAATTGGTAAGGCCGAGTCTGGATGCCACAGAAAATTTGTGTCAAATAATATTCTGACAGAGAATTCCCTTTTCAAATGGGAGGTGAGAAAATATTTTCAAAATATTTTGATGTGACCTCCATGATGAAGGAGAACTATCGATAGTAGAATAACATGTACTTCGAGTAGGTAAAAATTGGAGAGTTGTAGTTCAAACTTTTTTCTGTCAGAAAACAGTGAAAACTCGACGTATAATAGATCTTTAAACCAGTAGATGACTGGCTTCCTGTATACCTGCCATATTTCCAATTTGATCATGTCAATTCGGAAATAGTTATTTATACAAATAATCAATACAAAGGACTTCACGAATTCACCTTGCAGAATATCAAGAGCAATGTGTTTGTGTCAAAAATCGTTAGTTTCCGAAATGACCAAGTTACTGATTATTTACTTGACTACTATTCAATAACATACTTGGTGAAAAATCAACGAATTTAGAGGCCAAACTACTAGAAGCGCATGACACGAACAGCATCCATAGCAGCACGCTCTTGACGGTTCAACCGATAACGGCGTTGAGTTTCTTGACGCTTGCGCTTCTTTTCATTCGCCATGCGTTGGTAGCGAGCGAGTACACGACCATAAAAGTCCTCGTCATCATGGCACAAGGGTAGCAAGGACAAGCGAAAGTTTGTCAACGCAAACGTAACGCGCTGGATCGCAGAGTAGTTTCGCTCGGACCACGTGTACGTGGCGCAGGACACGCGCCAGAGGGAGCACACTCGGCCAAAGAAGTTATCTACGATTACCCGATCCGAGGAGACATTGGCATTGCGTTCCAAGTCGCTGGCCTCAAGAGATCCATTGGCGGTACGACGCTTCGGGTGGATGCCACGCAATGAGTGGCTGATTCCAATGTAGCCCATGTCAACAAGACAAGCCCACGAGCCACGATGCAGGGCAGCCTACTCTCCATGGTCCGGCAGAAGGGACTCGGAGGCCGACTTGGCTAAGTTGGCAAGGTGGACATGTTTGCGAGAGTTCATAATGGTAAGGTCGTGCACAGATCCAGGATTGCAGTAGACATGGCAACACATCGGCCATCTGGTGACATAGCTGCTTCGACCTTGTAGCCGTACAAGTGGTGTTTGCCACTAAAGTAGTGCTTCTGCTCGGCAAAGAAACCGACAGGTCGGTTCGAAAGTTAAAACATGACGTCTACAGCATAGAGAGCGTATGGAAAGTGGGTAAAGCGCTGACCTGACTGGGTGAGCTCCGCCATCGTCACTGAAGTGATGAAACGTCGGTAGAAGATGAGTTCAATCACCTACAGTGTTGTCTGTTAGAGATTGCACACAACATATATACTCATCTACCGAGAGCACGCGCATGATCAGCTTCTCAAACGTTGGTGCCTTGAAGCCATAGTCCGCAGCGTGCTTTTCCCATGACGAGAAGTGCTTGAGGACGGTCAGCGCCATGAACATGGCGTCCTTCGTGCTCGTAGGAGATCGACGACCGCGCCCTTCCATCCAAGCCGATTGCATGGCAGTGTCCACGAAGGACCAAAGAGTCTCAAACTCAGTGACAGTGAAGTTCGTCAGCGTGCGGATTCCCTCTGAACCGAGGTCGGTTATGAACTTGTCCATGATAGGGTGCGCAGCGCCTCATCGCTTTCATTAGCCGCTCTTGCGGCCTCCCCATGGGTGGTGAAGGAAGCCTCGAGATACGACCGATCACGAATGGTCTGGTCTTGTAGGCGATTAAGGACGGCGTTGGCGTTGATGGGCATTGCGATGCAAATTCAATTGTGGGGTGGGCAAGACTTGCCAACCTGACGGGCATTTTGATTCATTTTGGCGGTAAACATGTAGTTATAGGGGTTGTTGACTTCAGGTTGTTTAAACAGCTATGCCAAATTTAATCTCCTTAAATAGTACATGTTGACGAAACTTTCGAAATCTCTGCAATTGCAACTTTTCGTCCAGCCTCTACATAAAAACAACTCATTTTAGATAATTCTGGTTGGTCACATTTATATACACGTTTAATTGAAATAGCGTGTCACAGTAGTGGTAATGATGCGGCGTTGTTCTGAAGTACATGCTACATTCAGCAAAGACTGGTAGCATCAATCTGAATGGCAAATCCACTGCACACATAGGGTGAATATTCGTTCGCATATTTTACCTGCCAATGTGCATCAAAATATTTGGGTAGGCTCACCATTCCCAACGCAGGTGCAGACACTGCATCTATTGTGTGACATGATGTCATGGTTGGTGTTGAAAACGTGGTGTACTCGACACCACGTTAACAACACCATCCATGGAATCAAGCCAACTGACGCCGATCGCGCCATCGCCTATGTCAAGAAATCGCGTCCACGCCACGTCACGCACCATGAGATGCTCGACATGATCTTGCTTGGTTAACGCCATGCTACGCCAAGACGATACGCCCAAGGCAAGTCGAACCGCCACCCGCCTGCTGCGCCGCAAGCCACAGTTGGTCCAAGAGGTATGGAAGATCTTTTTGGAGACCGGTGGCACGGTCACCAAACACGACCCGACGATGGACATGTCCACCCGCACAATGCTCCCGACGACGCCCACCATCGTGAGCAACATTCAAGAATTCGTCCGGCTGTGCCGCCAAGCTCGTGTCAGGACGGTGGCCAAGGACGTGGCCCATTTTCTCCGGCCCCAGCGCATTTTGTTCTTCGATCCTGAGTCGGATCTTTCCACCGAAGCGGCCCTGCGGTCGATACAACGGGTCCTGGCCAAACTCGGCTACAAGCGCGGGAAGAAGAAAAAGAGCCTCGGCCTACGGATGTGTGGTGTAAATGTTCAACATCATGATTTATATGTTTCTGAAATGTATGATTTGTTGACTGTGAATGGTGATGTCAACCGACGACCTGGTGTATATTTAGATGAGAGCTATATTCATCACCATTACAGTCGACATGATGATTCATTGTATGATCCAAGTGATGATTTTGACCTTGAGGTCAAAGAAAAGCACAAAGGTTAAATGTTTTGTTTCATTGCTAAGCTTGAACAAAGTATGGAATTCCATACGCAAATGAAAAGAAGGCTGGATTGTGGAAAAAACTACGTGTACATGTCGATAAAGTTGACATAGAGATTGTGTCGATGGCCAAAGCTGCTGGCCATCAAGTTGTCTACACTCCTCCCTACCATAGTGATCTACAACCTATTGAGACTGTATGGGCAATTGTCAAAAGCCAGGTTAAATCTTTCAGATATATTGGGGACAGTTCATGAGGAATTGATGTCTGTGTTAACTGTAAGGTTGGGCGGCAGTACTGTACGACCAAAACACAACGTTTCGGGACGTTCTTGTGAGGCTGAAGCGAGCGTTCGAGGACTTACAGGCAGCCAGTATCAAGGGCTGCATCAACAAGCCCGACCGTCAACTCTACAAGCGAGTACATCAAGGAGGAGCAAGAGGACGATATGCAAGTGAAAGCGAAAGTGACAGGGCCAGTGACAGCGACAGCGACGAAAGTAGCATTAATACATGAGGATAAAATATTGCCACATAGGAATTGCTGACCCCCACGCAGAAATTGCTGAGAGCCACATAAGAATTGCTGAATCGCACATGCTTTATGCTGAAGAACACATGAGATTTGCTGAATTGAATATAGAGTATGTTACACAACGAGATCCACTACGACAGGCAGTGCGTTATGAGAATTTCTGGACATATGTGACTAGGAGCAATGTGATTGGTTATTAAACTCACATTTCAATGTCTTTGGCTATTGTAAATGAATTCAGAGCATGTGATTGGCTATTTCTCACTAAGTTTTGTGATTTCAGGAGTGGGAGTACATAACTGTAGCTACTAAAATTAGATCTGTTCAGTATTGAGTACTCATTGAGCTGTTTGTTCGTTGTTACTCCTCCGGGGGGGTGTGGTCAAATAGTGAAGAATTTGCTAACTTCGTTTATACTTGGCGCGCGTGGAACATCATTATGGGCCACTGCCCTTTATGTATGGACAAGTTCAAAAGCATCCAATCTTGACTAAGGTGGGAATTATCTCACCCGACTACTCCAGGCATTAACATGGTGGCTCTGAGTACCATAATTTATCGGCACTCCATACACAATTCTACTCTAATTCAGCTTATCTAATATAATATCACACCAATGTTCTGTACACAATGGAGTCCCCAAGTATTGTACTTGCAAATAGTATGCTGCACAAATACGAAATATACAAAATGTATTATCGACCAAATTAGCTAACCAGCAAACATGATATATCAGGCAACGTGCAAACAACGGCGACGGCCGCGAACCTGATAATGGTGCTGGTCTTCAGCATCT